TCATTTTAGCTATGGAAGCGCCAAAAACCGTCAAATAAATTCAAAAACTCACGGGCTCCTTGGCAGCTCTAAACAGATTCCTCTCTCGAGCCGTGGAAAGAAGTCTTCCATTGTTCCATACCCTCCACAAAGGCAGAAAATTTGAATGGAATGAAGAATGCCAGAAAGCCTTCCAGGACCTGAAGGAACACCTTAAGCAGTTGCCCACATTAGCTAAGCCAGAACCGGGAGAAACCTTATATATCTATCTGGCAGCTCGAGAGAAAGTCATCTCAGCCGTGCTTGTGCAACGCAAAGATGGCAGAGAAATCCCCATCTACTTCGTCAGTAAAGTCTTACAAGGGGCAGAAACCCGCTATACACCCATGGAAAGACTCATCCTTAGCCTGGTCTTAGCCGCCCGACGCCTGCGCCCATACTTTCAAGCACACCCCATCATAGTTTTGACCAAACAACCCATTCAGCAAGTCCTACTCAAGCCAGAGGCCTCCGACAGGATGATGAAATGGGCAATCGGACTGGGCGAACACCACATCGAGTACAAACCACGAGTAACAATCAAAGGACAGACCCTCGCAAATTTCCTAGTAGAAATGCCTCGAGCTGTCGACGTCCCGAAAATTGTGGAACCTAAGGAGATCTTGCTACTCAAGTCAACATCAACCCTCGAGCCTGGTTACTATACGTCGACAGCTCTCGTTGTGATGAAGGGGGAGGAGTCGGTATCATATTAGCCAAACCTTCAACTGATCCCGACATCAAAAGAATGAGGGAATATGACGCGGAATATACATATGCACTAAGGTTTGGATTCCTGGTCACCAACAACGTGGCCGAGTATAAAGCCTTCATAGTAGGGATGAACATGGCACTAAAGCTCGGGGTTCATAAAATACAAGTTTTTAGTGACTCATAGGTAGTAGTGAAGCAAATATTGGACGAGTATACAGCAAACGATGAGCAACTCAAGCGCTATCTCGAGAAAGTCCTTGAAATCAAAGACAAGTTCGAAGAATCCATCGTATCTCACATAGTCCGGTCGAAAAATAAAAGGGCGGACGCCTTCAGTAAGTTGGCCTCCTCGAACTTTGCACACCTCAGTCACAAAGTGTGAGTCGAGATTCTCCCGAAACCTAACATCCAGAAAGCCCCCGTAATGACTATCGTCGAGGACGAAAACACTTGGATGACCCCGTTCATACAATACCTTACAGATAGTACATTACCAAGCGGAAAAGCACAAGCCAGAGCCCTCCAGTTGAAGGCAGTTAAAAACACATTACAAGACGGCATCCTATACAAGCATGGGTACCTGCTACCCATGCTAAGATGCATTGGCCCAAATCAAGTAGCTTAAGTACTCAAAGAAATACACGAGGGATCGTGTGGAGCCCATATGGGGGCAAGAGCACTCACCAAGAAGGTCTTGCGGGCGGGGTATTTCTGGCCAACAATCTTCAAAGATGCATACCAGTTTGTACAGAAATGCGATAAATGTCAACGCTTTTCTCCCATCACTCGATAACCGCAGCACGAGATGGTCACCATTCAAAGCCCTTGGTCATTCTACCAATGGGGCACTGACATCATCGGCCCTTTCCATCCAGAAGAGGCAGGAGGAGTAAGATGGGTAATCGTAGCAGTAGATTACTTCACTAAGTGGATAGAAGTTAAACCGCTGGCCTCGATAACAGGAAGGAAGGTGTTGGATTTTTTCTGGCAAAACATTGTATGCCGTTTTGGAATCCCAAAGGTGGTCGTCTCTGACAATGGAACCCAATTCGAGAGTAATCCTTTAAGTCATGGTGCGAGGAAATGCAAATCGAGCATTGCTTTTCAAGCGTGGCTCATCCTCAAGCTAATGGTCAAGCGCAATCCATCAACAGAACCATATTACATAGGATCAAGAGCAGGTTGTATGACGCAAAAGGAGCATGGGCCGACAAGCTTCCTCACGTCCTATGGTCATACCATACTACTGCACATTCCTCGACAGATGAAACACCATATAGCTTAGTCTATGGCATGGATGCCATCCTCCTGGTTGAAATAGGCTTGTCGAGCCCTCGAACAATAAATTTTGTCGAGAGCACTAACGATGATGACATCAAGCTGAACCTCAACCTGCTTGAGGAACAGCGAGATGCAGTCACAATTTGAGAAGCAAAATATAAAGAGATTCTGCGAAGACACTATAGCAAGAAGGTGAAGGTCACAGATCTCGTGGTAGGTGATCTCGTGCTAAGAAAAAATGAAGCCAGTCGAGCAGAAACTCCTGGAAAACTCACAGCAAATTGGGAAGGGCCCTACAAGGTTATCCAGGCTTCCCCGGCAGGCAGCTACTGCTTACAAACCTTGGATGATAGCGGGACTATTCTCCCTCGATGGTGGAACATTCAGAACCTTCGCAAGTTCTATGTTTAAATCTTTGCTTGCTATTTGCCCATTGTGTGTCTTACTTGAATTATTTACTCGGTTAGTTTCATTGTCGACATTTTATTCATGACTAGTCATCGAGATGGACTCCCTCTTCAGGGCCATCCTTGTTAAAGAGCCGTGTACTCAACATCCGGACACAAAACTGAGGAATTCTCCTCACACACGCTACAAAATGCAGTATCAAATCGAGGAATTCGTACATAATTCCCTCGATAGAGCCGTGTACTTTACATCCGATCCAAACAGCGCTATATAAACTGATACTCGAGTTCTTTCAAAATAATCCATTAATTTCCTCCATACTACTGTGCGAGCTTATACACATATTTTCTCTATACTATTACAAAGACTTCCCTGATAGGATTGTCAGGAGAAGGATGAATAATCCCCTTAAACCCATGCAGGCTAAGGAGATTCACGCATTGATTACGCTTGTCCTTAAGTTCCACGATCTCTTGGTCTTGGGCATGCATCCTCATTAATAACTCTTTTCGAGAACTTCGAGTTCGAGGATCCACTGTTTCCTCTGGGTGCTCAAAAACCTAGAAATCAATGTTGTTATCTAGTAACAGATTTTACAGTTTGGCAATGTAATCCGTAAGAAGCTCGATCTCACAGGCTTTCCCTTTCAATATGTCCATGGCTGCAATGAAGCGACGAGTTTTGGTCATAATCATGTGTTGAACTCGGGCTAGCACTTGATGTTTTTCAAGGAACCAGGTGGACACGATAATCTGTTGTCTTTCCCTCAACCGAGCATTCTCCTTCTCCAAGATAACCAGATCATCATGGATCTCGGTCTCGAAAGTCAGTGAATCACCGTAGTCTTTCAAACTTTGAATCTCCGGACGCTGCATCTCCTCACGAAGTTCTTTAATCTCATTTATCAGATGCTGATTAACTTTCACATTGTGTGTTCTCATAGCTTCGAGAAAGTCATTCTCTAGGTTTGCCACTGTCTCGATACTATGCACGTCGGCACGACCTCTTAAAATCCCGCTGATCATGGAGTACAACGGGTACTCACTCGATTGCTCCTCCGATTTACCATGAGGTGAACACGGTAGACGGGCCAACTATCCTACTTCAAAATAGGAGCATAAGATGTTTGCATAAAAAAAAAAAAAGATGCTTGTATAAGCACGAAAAAAATGGAGTAATCAGTTCATTACAAAAATAGCAGTTCAACAAGCCTAGCAGCTATTACAAAAGGCAGAATTCATACAACATCATTGCCAGGAGGGTGATCCTTGGAGGAGCTCTGAGATGCGTCCTCAGCATTTCTCTACACTCCGGAGTGTCGGCAACATCCTCCTCGGTGGCCTCATCAGTATCCTCGAGCTCAATACCCATGTGCTCATCTGGTACATCGGGTATGGAATCCTCTTCACTTGGACCCTTGGCAAGGATGGTAAGCACGTCGCCAGGAAACGAGGCTGCCGGAGACCTCATTTTTGCCAGAGCACCAGTCAGAGCTTCCCACAGGGGTAGCTGCTCGAGGCTCAACTTTGTTAGGACCTTCACCATTGCCTCGTGCATGGTCTTCTTCGGGTCCTTTATCAGGAGTTACTTGAACCATTTGGCTTTGATAGGTCTATCCTGATCGAGCCTCTTCAGACCTGCTACGCCAACCCGGTGCGCCCGGCACTTAGTGGTTACCAAATTCATCTCCTCGAGTGCTGCGGCCATCCCTCCTGTGGATAACATCTTATACATAAATGTAGCACACCACTGGTGTAACTCCTCTTTCGAGATGTGCAAGCTAGCAAATGACTTCATCTTCTCATCCAGCTCATCATACTTGGCTTGAACCAAGGCAATCTCAGCCTCTTTAGCTTGGACTTGGCGGGCCTTTTCCTCGAGAGTCACTACCTCGAACAAAGCTTCATCCCTCTCAGATCGAGCTGTGACCAGATCTTCTCGCAGTTTCCTTAGCTGCACCAGGTAGGCCATCGAGGCCGCACTTATCTACACCAAGGTAACCCATTAAGAACACGTTGACGTGTTGCTGGTTCATGGTAAATATTCATTTACAACAATGGAGAATTACTTACCAGTCTCAGGCTGTCGGCTTCATTCAGCTGAGCAGCAAATTCGTCAAGAACAGGACACTCGATAGATGGTGGGTTGCTGAAAGTGTGCACGGCCATGGACGGACCTCCCTTGAACAGTTGATCAATCGGAATTTAGAACCTTTTAAAATGTTCCCCCTAACTTTCTTATTGAAACTTTAATGTAAACTACTCAATTTGTATTCTTAGTTCTTACATTATGTGTAAATTGCCCCATCCGTACGTAGGATTCGTTCAATATGTATCATATACTCCCTCTGTCCTAAAATTATTGTCCATTTTGAGATTTCACTTTTAGTATAATTTGAACTAAAAATAAAAACCCAAACTGGACAATAATTATGGGACGGAGAGAGTATTATTTTTATTTATTTTTAATGTTTTTGTCCTTTTTTATGACACGAAGTATAACCAAAAATCTTCTGGTTAAAGCACACCTGGTATGATTCCATGACGATTAAACAAACATTATCTCCATATATTACAAAATGAAAATGGTGTCTGCAGAAAATCTAGCCCAAAAGCAGCCAACCAACTTCCTAAAAAAAGCAAAACCAAAAAGCATTGCTTACAAGATAATTCCTACCTCATCACTCCATTCAGAATTCACCAACCAACCCCACCTTTTTTGTCACCTTTTTCACGGAATCAGGACAAAGAATCAAGAGAAAAACGTGTCAGTACAACAATTGAACACAGTAGCATTCTATCCTACCCAGTATAAATAATATTTCTTTTTTGCTTTGCCGATTGTGAAATTGGACTGCTAAAACCAAGAATGACAATGGGTTTTGGTTTTTCAGCCTCCATTATTGGTTTTCTTTGCTGCATGGTTTCAATGGTGGCAGAGTCATCCTCTGCCTCTGTTTCTTTCATATCAGCATTGGGAGATCCTGGAATGAAGAACCCAAATGTCAGATTTGGGTTTGAGGCTTGGAATTTCTGTAATGAAGTTGGGAGTGAAGCGCCGAATATGGGCAGCCCCAGGTTGGCTGATTGTGCTGATATTCAATGCAGCGGTTCTTCTGCTCCACCAGGTTCTTTTTGTTTTTCCAACTTCCTTTGTGGTTAAAAATGTTATCATAATTATGTTACCAGTGGAGTGGAAGATTAGTTGTATATTGATGTGTTAATTTGGTAAAATCTGTATTATTTTTTTCTCAGAATTTAGGAAAATGCAGTTGCTTCTTTTCTTCTCTGTTGGCTCATTGTGATTAAAGTTCAGATTTGTGCCTTTTTCTGGGTGGGAAATTGAATAGTAAGAGGGTAGAAAAGTTCTCTTAATCTGTCCGTCAAATTCTTCTTGTTAAATTCGTGATGTAGACAATCTGAATTGTATAGTATTTTTGGATAAAGAGTGAATATGATTGACTGATATATTTTTGAGCTGTATAAGCTTTATTAATAGCTCTGTAAGCTTCATAATCATACCTGAAATTCATTATTGGCATGTGGTTATCTTCCCTATTTGACTGTGTTTCTTGGGAGAGTTCGACTTCTAGCATTTTGTTTGTTACTAATCTATCCTGAAAAAACGAAGTTTTCCCTTAAAATGTTGAATATCCATCCCTTTCCGTGACATGTTACTGAACCATTTTGGTTGTATCATCCATTGTCTAAGACAAGCAGGGTGGCTTAATGGTTGATAATGGGAGCAAGTGTGAAGTGCGTCAAAATGTGCTTGAATCAGACAACAAATTAAAGGCTGGTGATCCGTTTCCTTCAGAAGGATTTAATCCATCTAGTGATCCTAATCTCTATGCTGTCCAAAAGGAATTGTATCTAGGTTCTCTCTGTGAGGTGCATGATTCTGCTAAGCCATGGTACTTTTGGATGATTATGTTAAAGAATGGAAATTTCGACCCCAATACCACACTTTGCCCTGAAAACGGCAGAAAAGTCGGTAGAATAGTGACAACAAGACACTTTCCTTGTTTCGGCGAAGGATGTATGAATCAACCACTTGTTTACCACAACAGCTCAAGAGTCATTTCTTTAGGTGATAAAATATCTCTGGTTGGTGGATTTTATGGAACTTATGATCTTGATGCTGACCTGAGTAAGGGTGTTGGAGCAAACTCTTTTTTTGCGACTACCTGGCAAAAGAATTTGAACAGTGGGAGTTGGATCGTCTCAAATAAACTGACGACATCTACCAAGTATCCGTGGCTTATGTTGTATCTCCGAGCAGATGCAGCTGAAGGATTTAATGGTGGATATCACTATCCTGGCCATGGCATGATGAAAAAGGTCTGGTTGAAGGCTTTCTTGCTTACTGATATCTTTTATGGTTCTGTTTCTTGGGTTCTTATGTTCGATAGGAGTTGCAACTCTTGAATTTGAAAAAATAATTTCTGTACATATGAGAGAATGAAGATATCTATCCGATGGTCTTAGTAATCTGTTTGAACAGAGGGTTGCCATCATTTATCATTTGGCAATTTTCTTAACACAACAACTACAGGGAGACTGATGAAATGATGTGGCTCAACAGAATTTCTCTCACTGATATTATTTGCATATGTTTACGATTTGATGGTTGTCATTCAAACGCTAACTATTGTTTTTGCAATTCCAATGCAGCTGCCTGAATCTCCTAATTTTAAGGTGAGATTGACACTCGAAGTTAAACAAGGTGGTGGAGATAACAGCCAGTTTTATCTCCTTGATATTGGAAGCTGTTGGAAAAATAATGGAGCTCCATGTGATGGCGATACTATAACCGATGTAACTAGATATAGTGAAATGATAATAAACCCCGCAACTACAAGTTGGTGTCGTCCTGATAATCTTGTCTCCTGCCCCCCTTACCACATTAGTCCAACAGGGGAAGTGATTTACAGAAATGACACATCTCGATTTCCTTACTCAGCCTATCATCTGTATTGTGCACCCGGGAATGCTGAGCATTTGGAGAAGCCATATGATATCTGCGACCCATACAGCAACCCGCAAGCACAAGAGTTGGTTCAAATACTACCACATCCCGAGTGGGGTGTTCATGGATATCCATCCAATAAAGGAGATGGCTGGATTGGTGATCCAAGGACTTGGGAGCTTGATGTCGGTTCTTTGTCTAGTCGACTATACTTTTACCAGGTATTGTGTAATCTGCCTTTGCTTACCATTCAGATTCTACAACTTAGAAGGATACAATGACCAAATCCGAGTTATATTGTCTTAAACAGGACCCTGGAACAAAACCTGCCAAGCGTATTTGGACATCTATCAATGTCGGTACAGAGATTTATGTTAGCAGCAAAGGAATGACAGCGGAGTGGAGTGTAAGTGATTTTGATGTATTGATTCCTAAAGATAGTGAACTTAAGGGTAGACAGAACATGTAGCAATAATGAAACTTTTATAGAATAATTCATACCATCTTTGGCTCCTAATCAAGTTTTTCTTATCTGATTTATGGTCATTCATCCTTCTCTTTCTTTCTAGTTTCATAAATCATAAATATTCCCTAACTCTTGTCCGATGACAGTTAAGCGAGTTAAATGTCTGGAAGGGCTTTTTGTTTCTTGTCGTAGTCATGAAATTGATGAGTGGCTCGTATTCCCCAGTCCATATTAACCAGAGCTGAAGATGAAGTTATGTTGGTAACATTCTGGGATTAACCTTTCAAAAAAAGCTTAAGAGAAGTCAGGGTAAGATATCAAAGAAGAGTAGTGTTAAACCTGTGTATAAATCAAGAGAGAGGGAGGGAGTTTATAAACTGATAAACATCACATCACTCGATACAAACTAAATCTTTATTTATCTGCTGTCAAAACACGAGTCCAAGAAGAAGATTTTATTGTCTTATAGATCATGCCTCGGTATGGTTTTATGTGTTGGTCTCAAGAAATGGATAATCTGTGTAGCCAACAACTGGGTCAGGTGTATAAAAAGTTGCCCTGTTATATTTGTTTAGAGGAGCATTTAGTTCATATCGCTTGGGCAAATCAGGATTCGCTAAGAATAAACGCCCATACGCAACAAGATCCGTACTGTTTTCTGCTATGGCTTTGTTTCCATCTTCCCTGTCATAACCACCAGCCGCAATAAAAGTGCATTTGAATGCCTTTCTCATTGGAAGAAGGGTATCAGGACATTCGGATTTTTCCCCAACTTCTTTCATCCTTGGCTCTACCATGTGCAAGTAGAGTATCCCATATTTGTTCAGAGCTTCAGCCATGTACATCCCTAGTGCTTTGGGACTTGAGTCACTTGCTCCATTGTAGTTCGCGAAGGGTGAAAGCCTTATCCCAACTCTGTCAGCTCCTATAGCACTGGAAACAGCTTCGACTATTTCCAGGGCGAATCTGCAGCGGTTTGCCAGTGAGCCTCCATATTCATCTGTTCTGTCATTGACTTGGTCTTTAGAGAATTGGTCTATCAAATAGCCATGAGCTCCGTGTATTTCCACGCCATCAAAACCTGTCAAAGTTAACAAAACAAACCAATCAAAGAGAATCTTTGTTTATCTGTAAATTGAAGACAGTTCTGAGATGTGAAGCATTACCCGCTTCATTTGCATTAACAGCAGCAACCCTATAACTGTTCACAATATGGGGAATTTCTTCAATTCCTAAGCGGCGAGGTGCTGAAAATTCTGCAACATCAATACCATTTGTTCGGACTTGAGGAGCTAATACCTTGTCCGTGGATGAGATTGGAGCTTGTCCATTGGGCTGATATCCTAGCAACGTCAGTAAAACAGAAATGAAAGATTAGCAAAGAGAAGAATTTTTGGTTTGCATGCATAGGTGGACTTGAGGGTGATTTGCATCATTTTGTAGCTTAATCAGCCTAGGTTTTAGCAAAATGATTGGATCCTTGTTCCTAACCATCTCTATGATGATGATCGGAACAAAATTAGAATCCAATAATATGGGTGACATAGCAGATATTGAGACTGGAGCACATCTTTTACCTGAATTGGAAACTCTTCCAGCATGCCAAATCGGGCAAAAGAAGATACCGCCTTTGGCATGAACTGCATCGACAACAGGTTTCCAGGCTTCGATCTGTTCCTTGGTCCATATTCCCGGAGTAGAAGGGTATCTACAATCACAAGGTAATGTTTCATTTTCACATTCGCAAGTTTTATCAAATTCAATGCTGATGTTACTTGGTATCTGGTACTGCTATTAGTACTATTACCCTGTTGATGTTTCAGAAATTCCAGTAGCTTCTGCTATGAGTAGGCCACCTTTGGTGGTTCTTTGAGAATAGTACAATACTGCATGTGGCTGTGCAACCTCGTTGAAAGATCTTTGCCTTGTAAGAGGTGCGAGAACAATCCTGCATCGAACTCGGGACGAAATAAGAAATAATAAAAATGAAGAAGATGTGCTAATATCAAACTTTTCTTGGTTCTAATGGGAGCAAAGATAAACAACAAGCAGGGTGGCGCATTAGCCATTCGTATCTGTAAACTAAACGATGTTGAACTGAAAATTTGGGTTGACAGTTATATATATCAGTTAGATGAAGTAGAATCCCATAAATTTCAAGAATCTTTGGACAAAGTGCTCAGAAGTTCTGCTTCCAACTCTAAAAAGCCACCAACTCCTTATTCTTTTGATTGCAAGAAAACATTGTCAACATGTTCCCAGATGTTATCAGAACAGTGCTTGTGCAAATCAACCAAACCATGAGTCGTCGTTCAAAGTGATCCATGAGGACACTATCTAGAGAGAATCGTTGTTTATATTGTTCATTTCTGACCTCATCGGATGAAGAGGTGGAAATCAGTTTGGAGGAACGATAAAGACCATTTACAGCCCAGTCTTAAGAGCTAAAAAATTCACTCAAAAAGGAGTTTTACATGGGAAGTCAGAGTCCACAAACTCCCTCTACCGAAAAATGATTGCAGTTCATTGATCTGATGCAAAATAAAGCAAAAGCTCAGCAAACTCACACCAGAGGAATTAGTCTCATATCATACCTATGAGAGAGCTGGAAATTTCCCATTTTGTAGGGAGTCAGCAAAGGTATTGTTGGTGGCTGTTGATAATTCTGATCGTCTGGTGCATCATCTGCCTTCTTTGCCATTATCTTCCTGATGATCACCACAGTTCAGCACAGAAGAGGTAAAGAACAGTGTAAGTATGGTTTACTGGATAGTGCTGGTATTATGCTGCGCTAAAGTGAAGAATTTGCCTTTTTGGAGAAGAGTGGAATATAGTGTGGAAAACCATGGCCGACTTCTTGTAATATACAATGATTCCAATCAAATAACAGTAAAGTAATAAAAAGAAGAAGCTTTACGCATACTCATTCTTGCTGCAACACGGTTCTTTGCACTAAGGATACAAACTTATATAATCAGTAATCTGAAAATGACAAGCATACTTGATTCCGTCATCAGCAGATGACAATGACTTCAAGATTTCAAATTTAAGTAAGTAGAAAGGATACATGATTTCACAACAGAAACTAACAATAAGCTTCAGAGACTACCAGAAACACATCAGCCTAACCCAGTCGGGTTGGAATAAGATTCAAACCTTAGACACAAAGTCATATGCTTTTAAAGGTTTTTTTGATCGAAACTTTCTTTATTACTCCCTCCGTCCCATAATTATTGTCCAGTTTAAGTTTTCATTTCTAGTTCAAATTATACTAAAATGAAATTTCAAACTGGACAATAATTTTGGGACGGAGGGAGTATGTATTTCTCGCCTTGTTTCATGAACTGATTTTAAGAAATGGATAGTCCATATAACCAACAACAGGGTCAGAAATGTAGAAGGTGTCCCTGTTGTACTGGTTGAGAGGAGCATTCAACTCAAATCTCCTAGGTAAATCTGGGTTTGCCAAGAATAATCGTCCATATGCTACAAGATCAGCGCGATTTTCAGCCACGGCTTTGTTGCCATCTTCCCTATCATATCCACCAGCTACAATGAAAGTTCCTTTGAGTGCCTTTCTGATTGGAAGAAGGCTATCGGCGCATTCAACTTTTTCGCCAACAGTTTTCATCCTGGGCTCGATCATGTGGCAGTAAGCAATGCCATACTTATTCAAGGCTTCAACCAAATAGAGACCCAGGGCTAAAGGATTTGAATCTCCTGATTCACAGTAATTCGCAAAGGGAAAGAGCCTTATCCCAACTCTATCAGCTCCGATTGCATCAGAAATCGCACCAACTATTTCCAGAGCAAATCGGCAACGGTTCTCCAAGGAGACTCCATAATTGTCTGTACGATCATTCACTTAGTCTTTCAAGAACTGGTCTATTAGAAAACCATGAGCCCCATGAATCTCCACACCATCGAAACCTGTAAATAGGACAGACAACAAATGACTTATCTTGCTTTGTCCTTTCTTCTAGTGATCACACATTAGCTGCAGAAGATAAAAACAAGCTTATTACAGATTTACAGAAGTGGTTTTTATGGCTAAGCTTCATAAATCCTTGTTCACTTACTTCAACATATAAACCCCGCGGTGTTAAGTTTGAAAAGAAACAATACGAACTATAAACCACAAATATTTACCAGCTTCAATTGCATTAATAGCAGCTTGCTTGAAGTCGTTAACTACCGCAGGTATTTCTTCAGTCTTTAGCCTGCGAGGCGGTGAAAAATCAGAAACATTAACACCATTTGCTAGAACTTTGGGAATTAATCCCCTGTCAGTAGAAGAGATTGGAGCTTGTCCATTGGGCTGGAAACCTGCATAACATTCATAGAAGATGATGTGAGAAGCTTCAGGTTTTAGGGCTCTGAATCCAGTTGAGAAAGATCATTAAAATAGTCAAAAGAAAACTAAAATAACTGCCACAAGATAGAGCATCATAGACTCTAATGATGATCATTCCTAATGGCATTGTCACTTGCCAGTTGAATTCTGCGAGAGATTTTTTCTGCTTCGATTTTTAAAGTTCTTGTCCTAGTACAACGTGCAATAAGACATCAATTCAGGAAGAGAATGTGAGAACATACAGGAATTGGAAATTCTTCCAACATGGCAATTCTGGCAAAAGAAGATGCCACCTTTGGCATGAACTGCATCTACAATTGGCTTCCATGCCTTAACTTGCTCCTTTGTCCATATACCAGGGGTGTCAGGGAATCTATATACTCATCAAAGCGAACAAAAAAAAACCAAACTTGTTAAGATTTACATCTATAATTGATATCTACGACTTAACATTATTTCTGAGTTGAACTGATTGTATAAATGATGTGATTACCCTTGTGCTGTGTCTGAAACTCCTGTAGCTTCTGCAATGAGATGGCCGCCGTTTGTTGCTCTCTGAGAGTAATACAAAATAGCATGTGGCTGTGGTAAATTCCCATAAGATCTTTTTCTTGTCATTGGTGACATAACAATTCTGTTGGAGATCACAAATGGACACAAACAAGATAAGGTGAGTCTTCAAATTTTCGTTCTAGCAGAGACTAACACAATCCTAGCAATAAATGTTCCACTGAGAAGTTACAAATGGTAACTAATGCAAATGCCAGGAACTTCAAATGCTTTTGGCCACCTCCATAATTTGGAGAAATTGGCATGAATTTTATCAATAAGACCCTTCCAATTCAGTGAAGCTCGGTTTCTTCTCCAGAATATAAAATAGTTAGTTTTTCTACTAAAGGCTGATCGTACTGTTTTGCTGTCTGTCCTCCAACCAAAGAGTACAAAGAATAGTAAACCATACTATAGTTGGAAAAAGCAACAAAGTGCCATGGAACTCATTAGTGCCATGAATGAACAGAGCATTTTGTTCAATATATGGCTACTGAATGTGCTTTTTTGGCCACAACTACGAAGGGAAAGCGAAGCTAGCAATGCAGAAGAATCTGCAAACATGAGGACGTGTTTTAGATTTTGATGACGGCAAAGAGCATGGAAGGTGTACTAGTGAGAAAAACTTCTCCAAACAAATGCAAGTCAAGGTTTCCAAAAAACGCTGCAACATCAACACACCATTGCCAAACGGACAAAAACTAACCTCATGTATCAAGAAATATAGATCCTGAGTAACTGCAATGGTTTGAAGAAAGCTGCGATGTACAATTTTCAAAGTTCGAACAAAAGAACAATTGGGCTACTTTTAAGAATTACTAGTCTTCATCATGTTTTACGAATATGTGACAATCAGTAAAGGCGAGATTAGATAACGAAAGCTCGAGCGGCAGGTATTGAATATTGAGGGAAGATCAAGTAGAGTTTGTCCTGTTTCCTCATTTATTCTTGAAACAGAAGAAATTTAAACGGTACTGAAAATTCAAGGTTGCAACTATTAAAAAGCAGACTCATCTGAGTAAGGGAGAAATTTCTTTCTCCTGAATACTACAACAATCAGGATCCCATCAACATGGTTTCTTTCAATCTTTTAGAAGAAATCTCTAACTCATGTTGAGTTTGAATCTCAATCCAATAGCCTGATTTTTCAAAACCAAACTCTATCTTAACAATCGTCAAAATTTCCAAAATCAACGAAGAAAATAGTACAAATAGTGACATAACATGGCATCAAAAGAGATTCTGGAAAGGGATTCATCACAGAAAATGCTGCTGAAAACCTCAAAAATCAAAGAAAAATGAAATGATTCACTTCATTGCACAGAACAGAAAACTAAAAGTACAAACACTACCTATGACAAAACTGGAATCTTCCCATTTGATACGGAGTGAGCAACGAAATTGGTACCTCAGCATGCTTTTGTTTTTGCTTCTCATCTGCTATTTCCTTCATTCCCTTGTGCCCCTCAGTATAGCAACACAGTCCATTCCTTTCCTATAACTTTATGAGGAAGAAGGAAATGATTAAACAAAAGAGTGGTTGACATTATAAAATTTGAGCAAAACTTTTGGAATCTTGTCCTACTGAAAATGCAGGTCATCAATGATCAGAATCAGAAGAAAAATTTAATGCCAAGAGTTAACCATATCATGTCAGCTTTATTGTTTATCTTATTCTTAACCAAAAAAATAAAAAAACAGATAGAAATGATTCTGATAAACTTTGTTACACTGTTTCTCAATCAAAATTATTTTATTACAAAGACCCTACAACTTCAGCTAACCTTTCTCTGCTCTCTGAATTTCTGTAGCAATCCCCGGAATCTACAACAGCCAACCGTACATTTGATTCAGTTGTAGTTAGGAGCCCCAGTATTTTCCCCTTCCACTGGGCTGTCGATCTCTTTCCTTGCTTAATCTTGTCATTTCTTTCATCGTTTAGGGGACCCTTTTGAAGGAAAAGTGGCAGCTCTGCTGCCAAGATCCGGCCGGCGACCGGAAAGATAAAACAAAAGATTTGACATTGGGGATTCCCCGAGATAAGTCACGGTTCAATTTTCATTTAGTTCAAAACCTGTTTCTTAAGATTCTGATTGATACTTTAAAATGAAAAACATATAGAATCTCAGTTAAAATGAAATGTTGGATGAATTACTGACCATGAGTGACACAATAATGTACTACTTTTCGAAAAACAACAACAGAGCAAAGTTTAATCTGCTTTGAGTACTGGAAGATATACCAGTACAGTATAAATTTCTCATTTTGGACAGCAATTCTGTGATTATTACATATGTGGTTGGATTATAAGGTTTTTAAAATATGGGTCCTGCATTCCCTATCTGCTTTTCTTGTATGGTTTTCTGTTTGCAACAGAAAAAAAAATTCATGAAGTTGCTTCCAGAAACGGATAGTCAGTGTAGCCAATGACAGGATCTAGGATATAAAAAGTTTCCCTGTTGTACTTGTTGAGAGGAGCATTCAACTCAAATCGCTTAGGCAAATCAGGATTCGCCAGGAATATTCTTCCGTATGCAACAAGGTCAGCACGATTTTCAGCCACGGCTCTGTTGCCGTCTTCCCTGTCATAACCACCAGCAACCATAAAAGTACCCTTGTATGCCTTTCTGAATGGCAAAAGGCTATCGGCGCATTCAACCTTTTCGCCAACAGTTATCATCCTTGGCTCGACCATGTGGCAATAAGCAAGTCCATACTTATTCAAGGCTTCAACCATGTAAAGACCCAAGGCCAAAGGATTTGAATCCCCTGCTTCACAGTAGTTGGCAAAAGGGGAGAGCCTTATCCCAACCCTATCAGCTCCAATAGCATTAGAAACTGCATCAACTATTTCCAGAGCAAATCTGCAACGGTTTTCCAAAGAGCCTCCATACTTGTCCGTACGGTCATTCACTTGATCTTTCAAGAACTGTTCAATCAGATAACCATGAGCCCCGTGGATCTCAACGCCATCAAAACCTACAAATTACGTCAATAAAGTTAGCCAATGACATACATTTCTTTGTTATTTAGTAATGATCACACATAAGCACCAGAAAGATTGCCAGTCAGCTTCTTTTAAGCAAAAATGTTTTGTTTGGCATAATATCCTTGGTTCGTAACATTGAGAGAAATGGCACTTAAAACTAGACCAGCTCGTGATTTATATCAAAGTCTATCTTTCAATTCTTTGTAACTTCAATAAAGTACAAGTGAAACCATAACAAGCTTACCAGCTTCAATTGCATTAATAGCGGCTTGCTTAAAGTCATTAACGATCTCAGGAATTTCTTCAGTTTTCAAACGGCGTGGTGGTGCAAATTCAGCCACATCAATACCATTTGCTCGAACTTTGGGAACTAATCCTTTGTCTGTAGATGAGATTGGAGCCTGTTCATTGGGCTGAAAACCTGCAGAAGACAGTCGTAGAGATGATATTAGAGAAACGGGAACTTTTAGGGCTCCATATCCAGTTAATTAAGATAATCAATTCAGCCATTCAACAACAACGACAGGGTAGTTCTTCAACTTCCTCCATATCATTACACGGGTGATGTGTCTAATTATGGCTTTTAAGTTGAATTTTGCATGAGACTTTTTTAGTTGCATTTTTTAAAAATTTAGATAAAAGCAAAAGATGCAAACAGAGTAGAGAAAGTGAGAGCATACTGTAATTCGAAACTCTTCCCACATGCCAAATCTGGCAAAAGAAGATGCCACCTTTGGCATGAACTGCATCAACAATGGGTTTCCAAGCCTCAATTTGCTCCTTTGTCCATATACCAGGAGTCTCAGGGTAACTATATGCAATAAATACTATCAGAATCAGCATAAGAAAGAAACAAAGCTGAGAATTCTGCACCCATTTGATATCTAAGGACTATTTGAGACATCCAACTTGAACTGGTGCATAAATGAATAGTTACCCTTGTGCTGTGTTATTAACCCCAGTGGCTTCAGCGATAAGAAGGCCACCTTTTGTGGTTCTCTGAGAGTAATATAAAATTGCATGTGGCTGCGGTACATTACCATAAGACCGTTGCCGTGTCAGTGGTGCGAGAACAATTCTGTTGGAAATTCACAAATGAAGAAACCAAAAACACATGAGTCCTCAAATTTCATTCCAGCATCCTATGATACTAATAAGTAATTACTACTGAACTGAGCAGCAGTGATAAGATAACTGCAGTAAAAATGCAATTCACTGGAAGTTCAAATACTTTTCGAGTACCAGCACAGCTTAAACGAATTGGAAAGCCACCACACCATGCAATTAGCAATATGGCAAAAACTATTTATGAGCAGTAAAATCAAATTCATCACCAAAAAAAATCAAAGCTTGTTAGTTTTCACTTAAAGTTTGATCATAATGGTTTTACTCTCCAGTCGAACTACAAGAGAAGCACTAAAACAGTAGCGTGTAATAAAGTAGGAAAAGTAAATAACGTTTTGGTTCAAAAAACTCGTGGAAAGTACTTTTCTGCCTCAAGAAGTTAGAAATGAAAACAAAGCTCGTGATGAAGAAGAATCTGCAGATGTATACAGTTCTTGCTTTAATTCATTTGGAGGACAAGGAACAAGGAACGAATACCAGGGTCAGAACTTCTCCAAAACAAATAAAACTCCTCGAACAAAAAGTGACATCATCATGGCATATAAGCTAAAATGAGCCATGAGAATTCAAAATTATACACCTCTCTGTTTGTCAAAGCCGGGATGACATACACTAGACTGATCTGTAACCAACACTGTTTTTCCTTTTCAATTAAGGGCAGTTAGACTTGGCATTATGTGTTATGTTTCAAGCAAATGCTAACCAAATGTTTCAACTTTCAATGAAAGCGATAAAAGAATGATAAAAACTAGAGAGTTGGAAATGTTGAAAAGGATTGTCCCTTCCCAGAGAATATCTTTTGTTGACAGAATAGATGTTAAAGCAAATTATCAATAAGAGGGGGAAGTTTACCGTCCTTTCAAAATTTCAAATCACATTACTTAGCAGCATCACTACATTCAAGTGAAAACACAAAGAACCACATTCAAAACCAGTCCAATCCAACGAATCCAATGATCAACAAAATTAAAAGTTCTTTCTTTCTTCCACACAAGAAATCTCTAACAGAATCTCTAAGAAGAAACTCAATTGGATGCCCTCATTCTCTGATTTTTGTACCACCTTGCCTAATCAAATAACACAAAATCAGCAACAAAAAGGCTCTTCAAATTGGCTCCATATGGAATAAGAACAAAATCCCAAGTGGAATTCATCCAAACAGAGTTGCTTACACCTCAAAATCGAAGTATGAACCATCACATAAAAAGGGTTGAAAACTAACTCACCGGTGAGATAACTGGAACTTGCCCATTTGATAAGGAGTGAGCAGAGGAATTGGTTGCTGCTCTTCTTGCTTTTGCTTCTCATCTGCGATGTCCCCCATTTCCTTCTTGCTCTAGTGTAATGGCAGCAGAGTTCCTACTCCTATCCAATTCAATTGTCTGCGAAAATGGGATGTGATTGAATAAACAAATGGCGGACATTAAACGGGTATTTATAGAGTTTGAACAAATTCTTGGAATCTTCTAGTGGGCCGGCCTCTGTGAATCTTTTGTACGTCAGCAATGATCATCATATCCCAATAATTAGTATTTGATTTTATTATTATTATTATTTTTTTTTACAACGCCGGAAACCCCACCAGAGATGGATAAACTCACGCCCACTACAATAGCCTGCAAATCACAATTGAAGGTAAACCACATTAGACATATCCGGATGACAAGTTCGGGTACAAAATCATATTCCTCGGAGTTGTAGAGTTAAATCATTTTGTCGTGGGACAATTGACTAATTGGTCAAATTGAGTGTATGCCATCCTTAATAAAGTACAGTATTAAGTAATTTTTTTCTCCAAATTATTGTCCAATTTAGATTTTTAATTTTGCACAATTTGAATTAAAAGTAAAAACTCAAAATGGACAACTAACTTTAAAACAATGGAGCTCCCACATCACTCTATTTCAAGCTAGCTAGTTCGAACTCCTTGTTAGTAAAATACGAATCATATATTTTTTTAATAAAATTTGGTCTTAATATTTAGCGTACAAATACGTACATATATATATATATATATATATATATATATATATAAGTAGAAGTTTTAATTCATACGTATCGTTGAAGAAAGATTTTTTTTAGTTATTGTGACACGTCTCGTCACTATATTTGTCTTTCACTAAAATGTAAGAAAACTTATAACTAATTCATTAAAATTGTAATCAAGCTTCAATGTCAAAATTGTTAAATGTATTGATGATGTTACGTTAATGTACGTTAATGTTACGTTAATTAACACAATTATTCACATAATTAAAGAATCGTAAGTTATGATAATGAAATTTATAGGAATGATTATCAAGCGATCTTATTTACACAATTATTCGGAGAATTTAAATCCTAATTATTATGATTTTATTTTAATTTTTTATATAAAAGTTTAGTACATGTCTCGTTATTACTTGATTATGATTAGTTTTGTAATCTTAATATATTTTATTATTCTCTCAGTCTCAAAATTTTTACTCAGTTTGAATATCTAAATATATTTTGTTAATTTTTTTCTTTTTCTGAAAAAGTATAATGAAATTGTTTGAAATTGTACTAAGTGTAATTTAAGATGATTTTTTGACATTTTAATTTTCGCATATAAAATCCAAAAAATTGCGTTAAGAATTCTTCCAAGTCCACAAAAAAATTATTTTTCTCCGCAAAATAAAAAAAAAAAATCAACTATGTTGACAATTTAAATGTTCACCAACTTTTATTCGTATGATTTATTGAGAAGAACAATAATTAATAGTCTTGGACTATGAACCGTCATAGAGAAGAACGATGCACGAACAGCTAATACGAAAATTTTATGCTGATAATAAACATGTAAAGGGCCACAATTATTTGGAAATTTTTTTCTTGTAGGGGATTCAATTGAATGGGAATCTTGTTACTACATAATCGTAATACCTTACGTCACATGTTTCGTAGTTGCGGCCAATCTTTGACAATTTTTTTTTGTTTTTTTGGGTAAAATTTTTCTTATGCTATCGCTTTTCTATGTCATTTTCAACCATGCCCAGTGCCTCAATGTAAATTCTACATACCTCTTTTTTCTCTGTATAAAGAGAAAAATTCAAGTTTTAATTTTCTTTTTTGTTATATTCGCAAATAATCTTTTCACTATCTTCGTAAAAATATAGTGCTACTACTACTTTGCATTTGGCGAAATTCAAATTATGTTATGTACGGACCTTTTGTTTTTAATCTTCAGATCACAAGTTATCCGGTGGCAAGATTATTGCGAATAAGATCTACACATCTAGGTTGGATCATTGGGAGGAAATTCATAAATATAGGGTTACACGTGTATGTTCCCATCCTTAATTAACCCGAAAAAAACCGTTCTCATTCACTGGTGTATGTTCTTATTGGACATTCTGTAATATGGAAAAAAAAAAACTTAAATATACTATAGAGATAGCACCTTTTTCGTATGATGTATACCTACTCATGTTTTCTTTTCTTGCATTAGCTTTTTACAGTACACACTATTTCCAATTTGAACTGAGCGCTGTTCCTCATTTTGAGCTGGGATTTATGAATACATCATACTCCATGTACGTACGTGGTTAGTTTTTGGCTTCATATTATTGGTCATCTTCTTTTACGTGCTTTATTTTCCCTTCTTTATGTGGTCATTAGTATATTACTTTCATTCCAAGAATATGTCCGAAGAAGCGGTCCATGTTCATGCGGTATCCTCTTTCTTGTCATGGAGAAGTATCACTATTAATATGTAAATTCAATTGATAGAAAGTGTCCTATTATAGCTGCACGTATACCCGGTGTGTGAGGTATGACATAATAATATTATATCTCTATCTAAAAAAAATAGTCTGCATTAAATTTTATGGAACCAGAAGTTTTAAAAGTTTAATAATGTAGAATTAGAGCAATGATACATGCCTGTTTGGTTGTTTGAAAAGTTAAGGAAAGTAAAGTTAATATTCCTAAAATTTTAATTTTAAGAAAAATTAATATTTTATTTTACTTTATTATTCTTACAAGTGTGATTCTTAAGAATATAAATACTTTCTTCTATTTAGTTACATGTTGGAAAATATATTTAAATGTAATAAAAATATTTTTTTAGCCTATAAACTTCCAAAATATTATTTATGAAACTCGGATCAAAATCTCGAGGAGATATGCTCAAAGTGTAACTATACGAACAAGAACTTATTGACGTCATCTACTAGTACATTGACTCTATGTATACGTGTATGTGTGTTTGTATGTTTAAGTTTATAATCCATTAAAGATAATTCAATTTTAGTTAGAATAATAAAATTTAAATTTTATTTAATATGATAGACATAAGTTTCTAAGTGTTGAATTTATTTACAATCGCTATGTTATTATCACAAGTGGCAACTATCTTATAAGTATTAAAGTATTTCGTAAAAAATTATTTCTACAATATTGTGATATATACCCTTAAAGCAATATTTAAAAGTTCTTTTTCTCATTTTTACTCCTAGCATAATCCAAGTCACATCTTTTAATTTTTGGTTGAATGTACGAACAATTTACATTTTTAGTTTTGTATTATTGGTAATGGGTTATTAATAATTTATTTATTCATTAAAAAATTAATTTAATAAAATGTGTAGTTTTTTTGTGGCCAAATCAAATATTTTGTCAATTAATAATGTAAAGATCATTAATCAAATTACAAAAAAAAGTTTAAAAATATATATGTAAATAAATTATATTAAGAAAAAATAAATAAAATATGAATGACATGAAAATGATGATTAAAAAAAAGTTATGGAGAATAAAAATTGAGTAAATGATAAAATCCTAAAACTTGGGAATCACAATACCACCTCCAAAGTAAATCATAATCCTGGAAAGTTATATTTATTTTCCTTGATTTTAGGATTCTTTTTCAAAAAAAAGGATTCTTTTTTGTTTTCCGAAAAGTAAACAAACAAAGGAATTTAAGAATTAGAAAAATGATTGCTTTCCTATGCAAAGAAAACACTAGAATTTAAAAATAAGGAATTAGATTACTTTCCATCCCAAAAGCCCTAACAACCAAACAGGCTCAGTAAAAATTTATAATGAAGAAAAGGTAGTAACTAGTGAAAAGAGAACGTTATCAAATTTTACTCTTAACTACCCACAGACAAAAGATAATTTGTTAATAAAAATAGTACTATCACTGTCTAAAAAAAAATTCACATTGAATTTCATAGTTATATAATTTTTTGTACGTATAAATTTCAAACTCAATATGGATTTATAATTATTTCAAAACTCATATGTGGTGGACTAGTTTAGTAAAATTGTTAAGCAAATGAAAATTAATTTTAGTTTTTGGTTTCCTTGGGGTTTTCAACAAGGAAAAAGTTTTTTTTTTCTTTTTCGTCAAAAAAGGTAAATACTTTTATAACTTCTCAAAAACTAATTGTACACCAGTGTTGTCAAGCTTGGCCCGGAGCTCGACTCGGCATGGCTAGGGGGTCGAGCGACTCGGGGGTCGACTCGGGGCGAATCGGGAGATCGACTCGGATGACATCACAATGACGTGATAAATATTAATTAATTAATAATTATATTTTAATTAAAATTTTTTATACAATTGTCAATTATTAAAGTCAAATTAGTATTTTATATCTTAGAAATGGGTTTTGATGGGACAAAGTTGAACTCGAAAGGTCGATTAAGATGATTTTTTTAACTATTAATAAAAAATATTTAGTTATTATATGTTTACAATTAAAAAAAATTAAAATTTATATCTCTTTTTTATTGTAACAGTTAATATTGATATTTTTTCTATTAGTTAATTATAGTTATTTGTGAAGTAAGTATATTAATAAAGTTATTAAGATAAATTAATTATTACTAAACATCAATTGTTACTTAAAAAATTATTGAATTTGCGAAATAATTAACTTTAAACATCAAGACAAATGTATTTTGAAATCAATTTCGACATATTAAAGTTATACTTCAACTTTTTCTTAAGATGATATAAGTTGGTTTGTGCGATAAAAAAAAAAATCAAAATAAGGCCTTTAATAGTAAAAATTAAAAACAGGGGACCAAAAAACCAAAATAATGTTTTGAATAAAACAAACATTGAAAGTTGTGGGCCATTTGTGAAAAAAAGGAAAAAAAAAGTTGGGCTTGGAAGATGTTAGATTCCATGGGAAATTGTGAAAAATTTTGGTCAAAAGTAAAAAAACTAAAAAACCCGAGTCAACCCTGTTCGATCCGATTCCCTGTTTGACTGAAATTTTGACCGAGTCTGAATTTGGCGATTTTTAGACTGACTCGGCTCGGTCAGGGGTCCGATTCCCAATTTAACCTGTTCGA